AAGAGGGTAGACTCGAGATGTAATCTAAGAAAATATTGATATCTAAAAGGAAAATAGAATAGATTAATAAACTTTAGTAAGCTATTAGTGATAGCTTTTAGCACGTGGATTCACCAAATAATTGTGTAAATGGATTCCAATTGTATTAATCCTTTATTAATTCAAAATCATGCATCTTCCTAAGCAACGATTGGGCCCCAAAAGTGATCAAAGAACCAAAATCTCATTGAAGCACCAAATTCAAGGCCATTCAACAAGTGGATATCGTGTGTTATGCACACTCCTCTTGCACCCTTTCGCGTGCTCTTAATTAATATAATTTGATTTGAACACCATTATATTTTTTATTCTATTGTCTCTAGGTCTTTTTGGGCATCTCGAGCACTTTTTTCTTCTACACCCTTTTAAGTCTCTCAATTAAATTTCAGATGCTCGTGCAATTAAAAAAAGTTACGTACCTGCTAGGCTGGTGTGTTACAACAAAGCATGCTAGAAGAACTCGTATCGGTCTGTAGGAATAGTTTTCAATCTTAAAAGGTGAGGAGTAGATAACGTGATTATGTCGCAGGAGATTCAGGAAAATGTCAGAGCAATTAGGTCGTTACATTTTAATAATTCTATTAAGGATGGGTCGTTACATTTTAATAATCCTAGAACAACTCCAATTAGTTCAATTTAAAAAAATGACAATTAAAAGAAAAATTACATACATACAGTAACGTTTACGACGACAAAAAAAAAAAAAAAAAAAAGAAAGAAAGAAAAAACTTGTCACGAGCATCCCTCCTCCATATTCCTTAAATGGGCAAGACTCGAATACTGCATGCGAGAAGTATAATACTTTACCGAACTACCGTGTGACAAAAGATCTTCTTTCTAAAGAGATTCAATTCGGGCCCAAGCCATTAATGAGATACCACTCTGGAAGAGGTAGAATTCTGCAACCTCTCCCAAGAACTCGCCCGTCCCCCCTCTCACTAAGTCCAACTACCTTATTCTGCCCACAAAAAAAAAAAAAAAAAACACAGAAACATTGAAAACGAGAGGGAGACAAATGGTCGCGAAACCCTGTGACATCGCCGTATAGTGTAGATAACCCCATGGAAGAGGACTAACGAGCCAGGGAACACCTTGATCCACACAAGTGATTACTACTAAACAGCGTCTTAACTTTGCTGGCCAATGTCAACGTACTTGATCTTCAAAAAAAAAAAAAATGATCAACATTCCTATTCTTTTTAAAAAAAAACGGGTAGGATTCTAACCCTATTTTCAAGATAGTCGGGTTGACCCGACCAAAATAATGTCAACCCACAAATTGAACCAAAATTTTCGATTTTTCAAAACTTCAATCCAACTCAAATCTAACTCAACCTAACTTTTATGGTTTGAATTCGATAGTCTAGATTAGTCAAGGTATCGAGCCATAAATAGAAAACCATATATATTTATCAAGTCTGGTAGCAATATTATAATTACTAGTGTATTTAATAATAGGCACATGATTTAATTAACATTTGAAATTTTTAATTCTCACACTCTCCTAGAATTTAAAAATAAATAAATAAGAAAGGTCGACTTCATGCCTTCGCTTCAAATTTTAGGTATCAATATTATTAATATTCTTTTGTGGGATACTACAAAGTACACATATGGTACCTAATAATTTATATATCCGTTTGTCTTGCTAATTAAGATATTGCACATTTGTTCGGAGGAGAACGAAACACCCTTTATCTAGGTCTGAAAACTTACGAAACACTCTTTATCTAGGTCTGAAAACCTTTCTCTAGCAGACGCGTTTTAAAGTTTTGAGGGGAAGCTCATAAGAAAAAATTCAAAGAAGACATCGGAAAGTGTTCTTGCCTCTATCATTAGCTCGGGTAGTCGCCGTTTCTAGTGTTTCAGTCACCTTTCAATGGCTCCCTTAATTATGTGCGAGGAATTTCCCTCGTCGAGTAATGGGAAGCGAGCTAGTCCTCGGCTAGCGGTAGGCGTGAAGCGTTACAAAATTAACTCTTAAGAACTTTTAAGGTTTATTAAAAGATGTAAAATAAAATGAAATTAAATGTATATTTTAACTTTATTTTAACAATAAAATAATGCATATGCGACAACATCTAATAATAAACAATTAGGCTAAAAAAAGTGAAATAATTAAATAAGATATAAAATTACTAAACTTATCCATACTTGAGAATATGAAAATATTTTATAAACATGACTTTATTATTTTAGGAATAAAAACACAACACATAGACAATAATGTTGGGTAACGGTTCAAGTCCATCGCTAGCAGATATTATCATTTTTGTGTTTTTTCTCAAGGTTTTTCGAATGCGGGTCCAAGCCCATCGAATGCGTGTCCAAGCCCACCGCTAAAAAATATTGTCCTATTTGAGGTTTCCCTTTTCGGACTTCCCCTCAAAGTTTTTAAAACACGTATGCTAAGGAGAGGTTACCATCACCCTTATAAAAAGTGTTTCATTCTCCTCCCCAATCGATGTGGGATCTCACAATCCACCTCCCTTTGGGGTCCAACATCCTTTCTGGCACATCGTCCCGTGTCTGGCTCTAGTACCATTAGTAACGGCCCAGGCCTAGTGCTAGTCGATATTGTCCTCTTTGGGCTTCTCTTCAAGGTTTTTAAAACGCATCTATTAGAGAGAGGTTTCCACACCCGGTGTTTCGTTCTCCTCCCCAGCCGATGCAGGATATCACATGTTGTGTGTTTGTGTGTACATATTTCTACGCTTAAAAAAAATCTCTCATTTGATTAAAAATATAAAATATAATGTTAAAAGATAAAATGTACTTATATTGGTACTCTCCGCTTCAATTCGTCAGTGTATTTTTAGTATATTGTATTTTGATTGAAATTATATCTCGAATTAATATCTCGTTCGAGAGCTGTAAGATGACAAAAGGGATCGCTCCACAGCGTCAATTCGTCCGTGTATCTTGGGTTTATTATATTTTGATTGAACTTAGATTTTATTTAAACTACGTAACATTTACCCTCTATATATATATATATATATATTGTTTTATTTTATGTTTTTTTCGGTCTAAAATTTGAAGACTCGAAAATCGGGTTGTGACTTGATGTTTTTATGAATTCATCGTGGTTCAAGGTACGATACAACTCGACCAATGAATGTTATACAATGTCTAACCTAAAAAAAGAAATGGCCTAAACCCAAATTTATTAATTCATCGTGGTTCAAGGTTTTTATGATGAAAATATTAAATTTGTATGTTTATATAGGCGGATTGCACTTTGTTCTAATATAATTTTTAATCATTTTATTGAAGAATCTTTTTTGGTGTTTTTAATATATTTATTTTGGATCTAAGTTGTTATACCCTCATTTTGATTCACATTCTAACCCTTTTCATGCATGCTAATTTTTCTTGGATTTTACTTACATTTCATATCATTTTTCGGTTATTAAGAAATTTTAAATTCTATTTTTCGGTCAGGTATACTAAACTTGGTGTGGTGTCCCATATTGGTTGGGAAGAGAACAAAACACCATTTATAAGGGTGTGGAAACCTTCTCCTAGCAGACATGTTTTAAAGCCTTGAGGGGAAGTCCGAAAGGGAAAGCCCAAGGAGGATCGTATCAGTTTAGGAATGAGTTTGAGTTGTTACAAATGGTATCAGAGCGAGTCTTAGGTAAATAGATAGGGTTGGTAGAGGATAACATCAGTTAGGAGTGAGTTTGGGTTGTGAGATCTCACATTGCTCGGAGAGGAGAACAAAACATTCTTTATAATGGTGTCCTAGCAGACGCGTTTTAAAAATCTTGAGAGAAAGCTCAAAGAGGATCATATCAGTTTAGGAGTGAGTTTGGGTTGTTACAAATGGTATCAGAGTAACAATGGTATTAGAGCCCGTCTTAGGTAAATAGATAGGGTTGGTATTAGAGCCAGTCTTAGGTAAATAGATATGGTTAGCAGTGAGTTTGGGTTGTTACAAATGGTATCAGAGCCAGTCTTAGATAAATAGATAGACCCTTCTCTTCGTCTTAGGTCGACGAATCTTCTCCATTGAAAGATCCCTACATGGATAATACACATTCCAGTTCAACGAGCCTAATTTTAATTGTTTTGTTCCGAAGCAAACCACAGGGCGGTTCGTCCTATTCAGATATTCACGACCAAGGAAACAAATCATTCCCAGGGGAGGTCCGGACCCATTTTTTTTTTCTGATACTTCGATAAAAAGATTCATTCTCTTCATAAAAGATAGGAGGTAGAACCAATAAATATTTCTTTTTCGATTCATCCCTGGAGTTGAATACCTCATTCAAGAATTGTTTTTGATCCAATCCGTAGGAATCAATAGAAAAGGCAAATCCCTTATGATACACCAGATCCGACTCGGTTATTGATAGAGTGAATAGATCTGTCATTTCTTGAGATCCCACATCAGTTGGAGAGAGGAACGAAGCTTTCAACGAGGATACTGGGCTCTGAAGAGGAGTGGATTGTGAGATCCCACATCGATTGAAGAGAGGAACGAGTGTCAGCAAGGACGCTAGGCACGAAGAGGGTGGAATGAATGCGAGATCCCACATCAGTTGGAGAGGGGAACGAAGCTGCCAGCAAGGACACTAGATCGAGGGAGATGGATTGTGAGATCCAACATCGATTGGAGACGGGAACAAAACATTCTTCATAAGAGTGTGAAAGTGAGTGAGGACAAAATATGTTGGACGGATTTGTGTTGGTCTGTTCGGAGTCTTCATTCTCAGAAGCAAGGAATACGGCCCCGTCGTAAAGGAATTTCGAGACCATCAGGTGCCAAATCCAAATTTCGAATCTTGGACATAGATCGTTAAAGTTCAATGCACGGGAGTGAAAAGCTATCGATTTTTAAAATGGTATTCATGTCTTTATCTTTGGATTGGCTTATAAAATATATTTTTTCAAAACATGTATACATATATATACGAGGAAACCCAACACCATAGTTGATCAAAATACATTTGAAAATGGGAGAGAACAATGGAGATGAGCTTCAACTACCAATTGCCAACGTTGGGAGATTAATGAAGAAGATTCTTCCCCAAAAGGCCAAGATTTCCAAAGAAGCCAAAGCGACAATGCAAGAATGTGCAACAGAGTTCATCAGCTTCGTAACAAGTGAAGCAGCTGAAAAATGTCACAAAGACAATCGAAGAACTCTCAATGGCGACGATATTTGTTGGGCTTTTGGTTCTTTTGGCTTAGACAACTATGCTGAGGCTTCTGCCAAGTACTTGCTCAAATATAGGGACGTCGAGAGAATCAACGCTCAATTCAAAACCAATATCGCTCCAGAACAACAAAAACACGATCAAGAACTTGAGTTTTATCATGGTGAAATCGGTGAAACGTCTTAACCATGAAATCTTTTTAAAAGTGTTTCTTAATATGCAAGAAATAAAATTAATTGTGCTCGGGATAGACAATTATTACTTATGATTTCTTGACTTATGGATAACGTTTAAATTAATTGAGTTGTCTTTCATCATCGTACTTTGTTATTAGTATTAAGTTAATCTTTCTTATCTTTAAATAACATTGAACGTTAAATTTATGGTACTTTCGTGAATTAAAACATCAATCCCCCGCGAGCGTTTTTGTGCAAATTATATTTGGTTCTAAACAACTCTCTAATTATATTTAATTGTATATGGAACATTAAATTAACAAATTTTAAAATAATTGAGAATTTGGATTGAGCGGAGTCAGTTGAAATATTTTAAAACTAAATTTAATGGATCCAGATTGTAAATTTTTTCAACTTTTATTAAATTAAATGATGAACCGAATTCAACTATAAATTCTTTTGAGTTAAGTTAATTTGGTTGTTCCCGTTCATTATTCAAAATTTTATTTTTAATGAAAGTAGAATGTTAATTCATAAAATATAATTTTTAACTTTTATATATATTTTCAAAAATTATATTCTAAACCGTTTAAAAAGGGCTCGGAGAATAAATAATAAAAAATTATTATAAAATAAAATAAATATATGCATATATAATTGTATTATAACCAAAAATGTATTTTTTAAAACTAACAATAAATTCGGGTTAGTTTTAGAGGTGTACATCTAACCCGACAACTCGACAACCCGAACTAACCAAACCCGAATTATAAGAGTTGGGTTGGGTTGTTTTTTCTGAACTCGAAGTGATTCGGTTTAATTTCTGGTTCATAGGATAAAAAACTCAGTTGACCCGAAACCGAATAAAACTTATAAATAACATTGAGAACTTAAGGTCCGTGAGTGGCAACCCGAGTTTAGTTAGAGCTCGATCTAATTTTAGAGAATTCAATTCATAAATTTTTTTATTTATTTGTATCTAACCCAAATAATTTTATAACTCAAACTAAATCACCGATTTAATCAATCTAATTTTTTGGAACATCAAATATCATTATTTAGCAAAAAAAAATTATAAATTTGAAGGTTTTTTTTTTTTTTTTTTTT